ATGGATATAAAATATATTACAAAAACTACAACAAAAACATTTAACACAATAACAAAACAACAAAAGCAATCCTCGGGGGCGGAGCTACGTCACGGACGTTCTACGTTGCTAAGACGTGCACCACTGTACCACGTATTTCTATGGGCTCTGTGCGCGCTGCTGTGGAACGCCGGTGGAGCCGGTGAAAACTCGAGAAAACAACACAAACTCAACTTTGAAGTAATCCTTAACAACCAAATTCATATATGTTACACACGTAGGGCTAATCTTGTTACACTGTTCAGGGGACTCTCAACAACCATCGCGAAGTACCGTTTTCTGCCAGTTTTTGGTCTTTGTTTTCACCGCGAGGGTTGCCAGGCGGTAGAAAATGCCCGGATGTCCGCCCCCGAGAATAAGCATTTAGATAGTTACTGTCTTCACTGCCTGCTTCTTCACATTATACATGTAAGTTTGACCTTTGACCTGACGTTGTTGAATTGTACCCTGGGAAATGTTAAGTATTCTTGATATTACATCATCATTTTTTTTATAATAATTTAAAATACTTGATTATCATTATGAAAAGAAACTAAATTTCTGCATTTTAAATGTAAGCTGAATATGTTTGTCTACGTGTATCTGTTCTAGGTTAAGGTTAAGGTCTAAACTTGAATTCCCACTTTCCAGTTCTGTAAAACATCACTCCTAGAACAAGCTAAAAATATCAAAAGTGTAAAAATATCCCTGTTTCAGCGAAAAATATTATACACTGATGTAGATATCCTGCCTCACTTTCTCACTTATTTTATTTTGAGAGTCCTGGAGGATCTTTTCCTTGGACAACCGAAGTCTTTTAATACAGTGAGTATACTTGATTTACAAATCTAACATAAGAGGATTCTTAAATTAATATTCTGCAGTTACTTAAACCATTACCCATCCACAAACTCAACATAGGATGATGTACCTCACAGATTCAGGAAGTGGAAATGCAACTTTATATTGTTATACAATGCTGAAACATTATGCTAATACCAATGAATATTAGACAAAATAACAAAGCATATAGTATTTAAAAAAAGTATATTACAAAAAAGTATGTGAATTAATAAATGTGAATAAATAATGTACAACATAATTTAAAAATACAGATAATATAAAATCATTCTTAGTTGAATAAAACACACAGACCAGAATTAAACATTTTCTACACCAGTTCCCTGTTTTCATCACAAATTCACAAAATAGTCCTGTTTATTTCTCTTCAGAAGTTTGAAACAAAAATAGCCAATTCTTCTCATTAAAAACTGAAAATTTTGTCTGTTGGTTCCAAAATGAGAGTTCATTTCCAGAAATATTGAAGAATATTAGAAAAATGTGCATGAAAATTTGGGTGCAAAAGATTGGTGGTGAAAAGGTTAAAATCTGTACTGAAAACAACACAGATTGTTGGCAACTCTTGATATGAGAAACACTCTACCAGCTTTGTTAATTAAACATACAACTTTATATAAACACAAGAAAAAACACCTACCCCCCAACTCCTTGTTTTGGTGCAATATATTGTACATTATTTGTACATGTACCAAATGGGTGTAACTTCTCATTAGCTAGGTTTTATTTAAAATGTTCAAGGTAATATAGAAACAAATTATGTGTGTTTATTTGTGAAATATAACAAAAGTTGATTTAATAGTACATGCGCCCACATAAATGACAGAGATGAGTCAAAATAGGTCATACTAATATTAGATTTATGTATGTTTCAATTAGCAATGCATTTCATTCTAATAGAGAAAATATAAAATATAGCATTACAATAATTAATTCAATTGATTATTGTAACCAACAATATATAAATCATATAAACCTGTCTCAATAACTCACCTTGTTTTTGTCTCTTTTTGATCTATTCCTCTCATCACCATTTCTAAAAACAAAAATAAGCATGAATGTTAGAGAGAACATACATTGTAGATTAATGGAAAAGTGTACTGTAAACAGTTTTACTGTTTAAAACTAAGGCAGATCCTTGGGTCAGAAGCATAGACCTTTACAGATGGGCTGACACAAGCATGCTGGCCAGATAAGTCTAAGTCTGCTTTAGTTTTTTGATGACAGTAAAAATGATAAATACATGTACTGTTCAAGATGATAAACATTTATTGTGACAAACTTCTCTGTGGGTTATCAAAACTACATAATCTCAGGGTTCATCTTTTTTTATCTTTTTTTACCGGTATCCATTTTTATTTTGTGTTCATATATTTTGCGTTTCTGAGAATATTGAAGGTAGAAGACTGACAAATCTGTGTGTTTTGTTACATCCATTTAGAGGAGTTTGATCAGTGAACATGAGATTTTTTTGACCAGAATTCTATTACCATACTCGACCGCATTAGTGCCCAGGGTCCTCAACTCATAAAATTTAGGGGCTTACCCGAGCACCCTCCTCGGAAAAGAGTGCAACTGACAATTTTAATTCACTGTGTGACAGATTGAGGGGGATATTACGTCTTTGAAAGTTTGAGGGAAAATAAAATTACAAAATTAGGTGCAGTCAAAGTCAAATTCTTCATCAATAACACCACTGATGAATGTGTCGAATCATACGCAAACGCTCGATAAAAAGCACTTTCCACCATGATGTATTTGCATTTGACCTGCATCAACGTTCTTTGACCTAATGGGTCAAGTCTGTTATTATCCAAACAAAATGCTGTGTGGTACCGACGCAATTCTTCAGAAATTCCTGAAGACACTCGGGTAACACAATGCGGAAGTGAGTTGTCGATGTCGAAGTACGATCGGTTGGAATTGATTTCAGCGACATGTTTTTTTGTTAAAAATGGTAACTAGCAATTTTTATCAGTAAACTGAATACGGCATAAAATATTTACTGCATTTTACTTTTAACAGGTCATTGTCAAAGCGTAGTTTATGCACGGTTACCGTTGTCTACGCATTCATGACATATTCACGGCGGTCGATATCCACGCTGTATGATACAAAAACGATTACCAGTATTTGTTAAGCAATGATCAAAGACTAAGTTTTAAATTAGTGGCATTTTGAAGGGGTGGGCGCTTTGCCGAATGTGACCCCGAATACAAAAATTGCGCAAAAGTGGGGGGTGGGCGCTTGACGGGGCATGAGCGCTAACATGTGAGCATGAAAATTAAAACAGTATTTTGGTTTTTTGTAACCTGTTTTTTTCAGAGAAAACACTATTATTGTCATATATGGAGATCTAATTAGCAATATACATGTAAGCCCTGCTAAGGCAAATTTATCAATTTTGGCTTTGAAATTGGGTTTCCCTACCTTTCATCTGACTTTCTTTGTCGCTCTTCCTCCTCTTGCTTCCTTCTTTTCTTCTCTTCATGTCGTTTTCTTCTTTCTTCATCATCTTCATCTGTTCTGTGTCTTCTCTCTCTGTCTCGATCTCGATGACTTCTATCCCTGCTGTCATCATCATTCTGTATGCAAATCATAGACAATATCACCATGACAACTGTTGTTGACATTCCATTCAAGTCTGATTTTGGTGTCTATTCATAGTTGGAATCAGTCAAGTGCTGATTAAGCATGATTCTCAACAATGAACAACACCATGGCCATGTGAAGACAGAAAATCCAATTGCATCAGGACAATCCAGGCCCTATGGCAGGCATATTTAGAAAATGCTTACACCACTCATACTTTTCACTGATTTTAATACAATGTATATATATATATATACAAACCTTGTCTCTGTGTCTTCTCTCTCTATCCGGTTTCCTTTCACCTTCATCCTACAATTAATTTAATTCATAAATAACAATTTCAATATAGATTTCAGAATCCTAATCTTGCCATCATCAATTTCACATCACAAACTAAATGTCAACATTGTTTGTATCTATTTTATCAAATTTACTCAAGAGTTGAAATTTCCAAATGGAACATAAAAGCTTATGTTTAGAACAACTATCTATTCACATATTCAGTATGTTGACAGTTGACCAATCACTTGAAAGGAAGATCTCGTCTAAAAACAACCTCTAAAGAACAACACATTTCAAATCAGAGATGCAGTGAGAGTGAAGGTGGTCCTCAGTTTTTTCACTACTGAGCCGCTGACAAACCACCAATTCACTAAAAAAGTTAGTCTTACTTCTTTTTCTTCTCTACGTTTTCTTCTTCGTCTCTCAGCTTGTGCTTGCTCTTCTTCTTCTATCTTTCTTCTCCTTCTTTCATCCTTACTCCTCCTGTCTTCATCCTGAATTAGATCAGATTACGGTCAAAATCAGTTTTAATTAGCGATGACTATATATTGCAGAATGCATGCCAAGCTGAACAATGCGGCAGTATCTGAAGTCATGTCATGGCTTTATACAATAGAACAGAACAGAAACCTTGTTTTAATTGCAATGTTACAGGTTCATCATCTTATGATAATGGTACATAATAAAACACATTAGTTGTTCGTATAAGACACTTGAACCTCCACCTCCACTCATATGCAGTTGTGTGGCGTGGATCGCGTGGACGGGTTTCATATTCTCTGCACGTAATAAGCTCGGTTATTAAGCATCCTTTTTTGGGAATGCCCGGTGGCCGAGGGGAAGACGTGTAGTGGCATGAAGCTAGGCGATTAGGTGTCGTACGCGAGCGCCGGTTCGAGTCACGCACGCAGTACGTGTTTACTATAATTAGACGTAGTATTTACCTTGCCAGAACAGAACAGAAACCTTGTTTTAATTGCAATGTTACAGGTTCATCATCTTATGATAATGGTACATAATAAAACATATTAGTTGTTCGTATAAGACACTTGCACCTCCACCTCCACTCATATGCAGTTGTGTGGCGTGGATCGCGTGGACGGGTTTCATGTTCTCTGCACGTAATAAGCTCGGTTATTAAGCATCCTTTTTTGGGAATGCCCGGTGGCCGAGGGGAAGACGTGTAGTGGCATGAAGCTAGGCGATTAGGTGTCGTACGCGAGCGCCGGTTCGAGTCACGCACGCAGTACGTGTTTACTATAATTAGACGTAGTATTTACCTTGCCGTTTATTCGGTGTTATTTGCTTACTCCACTCATATGCATAATTTGTTACAACCTCCACAGAAAAATGAGAAATGACAATAACTGATGCTGTACAAAATGTAAAATGCTCATTGACAAATATATGCTTTAATACACGTTCATGCAAGTCACATGTATTTGTAAATGAAGACTAGGTAATCATGATTTACCTCTCCTTCTTCCCTTTGTTTTCTTCTCCGTCTTTCTGCTTGTTCTTGTTCCTCTTCTTCAATCCTCCGCCGCCTCCTTTCATCTCTTCTCCGTCTATCATCGTCCTACAGATGCAACAAAAGAACTGTTACTAATACTACCCATTATTTGCACAACAGACTATGTTAGATGTGGCTATTCATACCCTTAAACATCCAACTACCATATATAATGGGCATTTTAGAAAAATCAGCTCAGATGTTTGTAAATTAGCATTTAGTGAGCATAAAATAGTCACTTCCCTTGCTCACAGCGCTGATGCTGATGCTGATGCCTTTAAAATAACCCATAATGTGCCTGGCCAAAACATTTGACCATCTTTAATTTGACATCTAGGCAATCATTTCCATGGCATTAAGGCAATTTCCTCCATGGTATTTATGCAATTACCTTTATAGTGAATTAGTATTATAAAAAATTGTAAATACAATCTAAGGGAAACATTGTATTAGCTGAAGTGATAAAATTGCAGTAAGTAACAAAGCAATGTTGCTAGGCAACCAAACATAACATGGAAGAATGAAGCATCATAAATAAAATGAAGCATCTGCAGAGAATGTGACGTGAATACTGTAAAATACTTTATTTTAGCTGCAATTAAATAATTTTTGCTTAAAAGACTATTTGGATGTTTTGTATGGAAATTATTTTCACTGATGTTTGAACAAGCTGAATGTAAAATATAGGAAAAATGTATATTCCTTGGATTTTATTTTCACTGAATCATTTCTTCAGCCAAAATAGCGAAATTTAATTCCAAGCGATAATAAAGTATTTTACAGTACTTTAGTCTGATTTCACAGTGATACCTACTTACCTCGGCATGTTTTCTTTCTCTGTCTCTGTCCCTGTCTTTTTCTCTGTCCTTGTCTCTATGCTTATCTCGATCTTTATGCCTGTCATCATCATCACGGTGATGTTCTCTTCTCTCTTTATCCTTTCTATGTTCTTTTTCCTTACCTCTGTCTCTAGGTTCTGAAACAATAAATATTTCAATAAATATTGAAAGCTGTAATGCATGCCAAAAAATTAGTATTGTCTTCACGACATTACCTCTTTAATAAATGGAGTTTCAGTACTGCATTCGTTGATGAGCAGGTTTGATACTTCATAAAAATACATAAATTCCAATGTTTAGTGTGAAATATGACTAGCTGATTATATGATACAATAAACAACATCACAATATTCTTGTTAAACATCAGTATTATATTATAGGCACGCAGGGAAAACTAAATCATGTGATAGTGCTGCTTTTAACTTCTATTCCAGCAATACAAGAATTTCAGCCTGAATGGTGCAATGAGACTCACTCACAATATCATCAACTTATAGTTTATTTTGAAAAGATATTGATAAAAGGGTCATGTTTCTGCCGTTTATCGATACTAGTTTGCAGTCGTAACTGTTCATCCACTTATTAGCATAAATTAATGCATATGATTTACGATTACTCTCTTTTATTTGACATACAGAATTGGTCATGTGATAAAAAGGTTATCACCCAATACCACTTATCGTGTTTAGTTTGTGGATAATACTCGCCCATGACGTCACTCATATAAACCAGCTCTATGAACAAGTGATAGGAGGTGTCATAAATCAGCACTATCAGAATCAGAGGTTTTTATGACGTTGCAGCTTTACATTATCATATAATAACATAAACCGCAAATAAATTCATTTCAACAAAATGTTTGTTTAATTCTGATGATAGATATAATAACGATAATGAATTCCCCATCAATGTGATGTTGTTTGGTTTCTCCTCACAAATTACCCATAGACTCCTCATTCAATATAGTGCTATGGGTGATTCATTATTGTTTCAATAATTTCATAATATACAGTGGTAAACAACTAAAAGAAAAATACATTTTTAATAGTAAAAAGAGAGAATAGCACAAACTAATCTAACTTGTATCCACACCTCCATCCTCTCTGTGTCTTCTATCTCTATGTTTTCTATCATCATCATTTTTATCATCATCTCTTCCTTTATCTTTTCTTCTATCTCGGTGTCGCTTTTCAGCAGAATCATTTCTGTCGTCATCCCTGTGTCTACTTCTACGTTCTTTTTCCTTATCTCTGTCCCTGTGTTTCCTTCTGTCTGAGTTTACTTCCTGTAGGGAGGATATTTCATGCAGTGATTATTAACAAAACTAAACAAAAATAAATCTGGTTTTCCGGAAACCTTACTTACTGATATTTTTTATTATTTTTAGAAATTATTTTATGCAAATAAGCTATGGTCATTCCACTAATGTTGTATTTCTTTATTTCATTTATTTTCTTGAATGTAGAGAATTACTAACTAGAACTTAGTTGTATAAAGAAAGTACTTCATGAATTATTTTTCATGTATGAAGTAAAAGCATGATTATATTTCCAGCAATAACTCAAGAGTAAAAATAAAATACATTTTGTATATGAAATAATAAGAAAACCTATCTACACTGTACCTACTCAAAATTGTTAGGTCATTTCTGAAAACACCAAATTTATTTTTATTAGGTTTAGGGTTTTCACATAGTAATATGCAAATTATATGAAAACTAGGCTGCCAACCTCATTTCTGTTTAGCAAAAAAAATAAGCAAGTCTATGGGAAAAACTGAACAGTGATTGTAATAATATTAATATTAATGATAATGATAAACAGAAAAACATAACTCATACAGTTGTATGATATTAAAAAAATGTGATTTGGTCATGTTGATCATTACATCTATTTACAGCGTGGATGGAATACCTACCTTTATTGACTTGGAAAGTTCTTCAGCACCCCAGGTATCTTCTTTAGACCGATGTTTCTAGAAAATATACATGTACTGTTATATAATAAGAAAGAAAATGAAGGTATTTTGCCTAGATTTTCAATACTCTGACAACAACAAATAAATGGCATGAAACAGAAGTAAACTAATTTTAAAATTTAGCGAGAGAAAAATACGCTGAAATTTTGTCAAAACATCACTAAAAAACAAAAAAATTATTGGAAGTGCCATTAAAACATTTGTCCAGTCAGAGTTTTCCTAGCAAAGAAAATATAACAAAATGGTGGAATGATGAAGTGCCAAAGAGGACGCATTTCACATTCACTCAATAGAATCTGCCAAGGTATATATATATTTTTTACTATTCTAAGAGAAGAACAGTTTGCCAACAGTCAGTACTCACAGCATGCATGTGGAGGTTCCAAACACTAAATTTCAGATGACACTGCAACTGAATTATTATATTGGATACAAACCTTGATTGATACATAGCCATATCGTCAGAAGATTCAGTATGCAAAGTTGCATATAATGTAATACAACTACAGTCACTTGTAACACAAAGTTTTTATAAAAAAAACTCAGAGCTTCTACTGGCCTTGTGTACATTGGGAATAGACAAGTTAGAAAATGACATATAATGGCTGTTTTTAAAGGACCCAATTGTAATCGACAAGGTTAATAATATTTATTTATTAGTGGTGCATGCATATTACTGGTTATTTGACTTTTTGTGGATGAAATAACAATACATATATAGTCATAATTGTGGCATACAATCACTGCTGCAATATTCATAACCACATATATCCAATCTGAAGCTCTGTATTAATCTAAAGTTGATGAAAAACAATCTGACCACAACTTGAGAACTGTTTACAACAGCTACATGTAGACTTGGTGAAAAAGAGATCTCCACTGCGGGTTTACTATAAACCCTACGAGGCCCTAATAACACCAAAAATATGCGCAGATATGATGTGTTAGTGACATCATAGAA